TAAAAATGAATCAATAAATAGTATATATGAAAATATTTCTAAGACTCATGTTAAACATAATAATGAAGAAACGTTGACCTCTCCTACTTTAACATATTTTCCTTGTGATGATAATAATTTTGATATTGACATTAATAGTAGTAAAAGTGCATTTGTGAACAAAACAGTTGAGATGAGCGATAAACCGATAACCGATGTTTCAAAATCCGTTGCATTTATTTCTCAACCTGATTTATTCGACCCATATTTATGGCCAGATAACAGACAGAATAACTTAATAGACATAGTTATTAAGATGGGACCACGTGAAATAAACGAAGACATTTTTCCCAAAGATGAAAATAATCGTCATTTTTCTAAAATTTACCAAATAAGAAAATTAGACAACAATGAAAAAGTTAAAAGACGATGGCTTGTATATTCTAAAAGCATTGATCGGGTGTTTTGTTTTTGTTGCAAACTTTTTAATAGTTCTCATAGTACACTATCCACAACAGGCAATAATGACTGGAAACATATGACAACAATACTTATTTCTCATGAAAAATCACCTGAGCATTTTACTGCATACAAAAAGTGGCACGAATGTGAATTAAGATTAAACCTTGGTAGATGTATTGATAATGACCTGCAACGAGTAATGAATACAGAAGTTCAATATTGGAAAAGTATTTTAGAAAGGTTAATATCTATAACTTTATACTTATCCAAACACAATCTAGCTTTCCGAGGATCGTCTGATAAACTATTTGAAAGAAATAATGGAAACTATTTGGGGTTAGTAGAACTTTTAGGAAAATATGACAATAATATGAAAGAATATTTAAATCGAATAACTACACAAAAACTCAATCTAACTTATTGCAGTAAGGATATTCAAAATGAACTTAAAAATCTAATGGCCTCCAAAGTTTTAGAAATCATTCAGCAAAAAGTACAAGTCGCAAAATATTTTTCTGTGATATTAGAATGTACTCCTGATGTCAGCCATTCTGAAAAAATGTCATTTACTATAAGATTTGTGGACGAAAATAATGGCAATTTACAAGTAGCTGAGCATTTTATTGGTTTTAGAGAAGTTAGTGAATCTACTGGAGAAAGCCTTACTGAGTTATTGCTTAAAACGCTAAAAGAAAACAATCTTGATATAATGAACTGTCGTGGTCAGGGTTACGACAATGGCGCGAATATGAAAGGTCATAAAAAATGTGTTCAAGCAAGAATTTTAGCTTTAAACCCTAAAGCGGCATTTATGCCCTGTGGTTGTCATTCTCTTAATCTCGTTATATCTGACACAGCCTCGAAATCCAAAGAATCTATCACTCTTTTTGGAATTGTACAACGGATATTTGTTTTATTTTCGGCTTCTGTTTACCGTTGGCAAGTACTAAAATCACACTTACCTAACTTGACGATTAAGCCATTGTGTACAACCCGTTGGGAGAGTCGCATAGACAGTGTAAAAGCAATTCGATATCAAACAAAAGAAGTATACGATGCATTAATTGAAGTTGCGGAATCATCTAAGGCAGATGCTAGAACAAGGAATGAAGCAAGCAGTTTAGGCAATCAATTACTTGACTTCAAGGTATTGATTTCATTAAATGTTTGGTATGATTTATTATTTCAAGTAAATATTGTAAGTAAATCTATGCAAGAGTTTACAATGGATATAGAAATGGCGTCTTCATTATTAGATAATTGTGTCAAATATATTAACAAGTATCAAGAAACAGGGTACGCAGATGCGTCAAACTCTTCAAGAGAAATAGCAGAGTCATTAGGTATAGACCCAATTATAAAAGAAGTACGAGTAAGACGTAAAAAAACTTTTTTTGATGAAAACACCGATCAAGATTTTTTGATTAGCGCTGAAGAACGTTTTAAAAGAGAATTTTTCTACACTCTTGTAGACACAGTCAGAGAATCTATAAAAGAAAGATTTACTCAATTTGAAAATCATAAGCAGTTATGGGGGTTTCTGTACAATTTAGAAAAATTACCATCTTCTTAATATCTTTTGGCATGCTGTAAAGATCTGCATGGAGCACTCTCGGAAGGAGATAGTGCTGATATAAATTCCGTAGAGCTTTACAGTGAACTTAAACATCTGAGTTCACTTTTACCAATTGGAAAAGGATCCCCCAAATCAGCGCTCCAGTTTATACACGATATGGAATTAGTTGATATATTCCCTTACACATGGATATCTCTAAGAATATTGCTGACGATTCCAGTTACTGTAGCATCAGGTGAACGAAGTTTTTCTAAACTGAAATTAATAAAAACTTATTTGCGCTCCTCGATGACAGACTTTCTTCGTTAGCAATTTTGTCAATTGAAAATGATTTAGCCCAAAAAGTAAACTATGAAGAAGCAATCAAACAGTTTTCTGAATTAAAAGCTAGAAAAGTTAAGTTTTAATATTAATTATAGTTATAAGTTTAAAATTAATATTTTTATTTTTATTTTTTATTTTACGGAATGCGGCAATTTTATACGTTAATAATATAATATGTGTAATCTTATTACAATGTTGTACGATCAGGTAATAAAGTTTAAAATTATGATACAAAATACATACTAATTTTATTACTACTCAAACTAGGTGTGAGGGGGTAAGGGCGCCAAAACATGGTTTCGCCCAGGGCGCCAATACTTCTTGCGCCGGCCCTGAGTACGATATATTAATTTAGCATTATATACTTTAAATTATTCGTAATATTTTCCGATGTATGTGATTCCGGTACCTCAACCATTTCCAAAATTCTATTTCGTAATTTCTAACCATCTAAAAAATTACATGTTATATCCAATTAACTATTGTTTGCCATAGATGTCCAAAAATCAACAGTTAAACATACATTAAGTACATTTTTAAACTTTTACCGTTCGATTAATTTATCTTGTTAAAGTCATTCTACAAGAGTTACTATATTCTGGCACAGCTATATGCATGAATTTATGAGATCCTTCACCTTCTACTATACTAATAGGTTTTAAATCTTTAACTGCAAATGTCATCAAACCTTTAGTGAGCTTTTTACTACGACTTCCCATTATAGTTAATTTTGATGTACATACTTGAAAATAATTTTGAATAGCACTCGATGAACTAGACTTTGTTGATATGCACTGTTACAAATGTAATTTTAAATTAGTTGTATTACCACAGCACGCAAAATGTTATTCTACATTATGCGTTCGCTATATATAAACTCATTGGAGCATCGTTCTACGGGGATGACGATGTACTGTTTTATGAACGTTCGATTAATAATAAAGTATCTGATTGATTTGAAAAAAAAATTACTTTAAAATAGTTTTTAATAATAATTGCTATTTGGTTAAAATGATATACTATATGGATTTACAAATACAATATTACTTAGAAACAATTTAGATTATAAATATTAAATTTTGTTTTGAATATTTATTAGCACTTAATGACCGAGAATAAAAAGTTTTCGTTTCCAAATCGATATTTAATTTAAATAAAGAAATAAGTACTTATTACGAATTCAATCATTTCGTTGACAAATCGAAATTTGATACTAAAAAATACATTAAATATGAACAATGGAACTAACCGAATCGTGACAGACCAAGAAATAATGAGCATATTATCGTCACCGGAATGGCAAGAGAAATCATTTTTTATGCCAATAGTTAATATGGTAGAAAATAATAAAATACAGACACCTCAAAAATTGGAAATTAAAGTATCGAATGAAACAGTAAAATCAATAATGCATAAAGATGTACCAGTAATTACCGATCAAGCAAATATTTCTATCGATAAAAACGAAAACATAATTATGCGTAAAGAATTGTCTGATTTAGACTCAGTTTATTCAATAGACGAAGAGGAAAGTTATTTGTTTAAACGTTCATCTGGAAGTATATCATCTGAAAAATTTACGTGTAATAAAATTCTTCATCAAATTGAGTCACTGACAGCAAAAAAAAAAAGTGGTGTGATGTTTGAAGATTTAATTTTGGATAATCAAAAATCTACTGGAGAAATATGGGTAGAAAAGAATTTAATGGGGCATTTCAATCTCAATGATAATAATTGTAAGTTTTCAAGTTTTTAAAGTATGAAGCTAAAAATAAAAAAATAATAAGACTTAATTTTGTTTTTAGACCATTCTGAAACTGCCGATTCGTCTTCTACGTGGTCATTTGACATGCCAATCATGGCGCAAGTCATACGTCAAAACAAATCATGTGCATTCATATTCTTGTCTACGTGGCGTTATGGACAAATGTTTATTTCTGATTATGAATTCTTTAGGTGACTATATGACTGGAAAACAAAAGAATGATGAGTCAATGTACCAAGCAACTATGAAGCAAAATATTGATAATATTAAACAATCATTAGGAAAACTGCTAATTGAAGGTTTACACAAAGTTTCTGAACGAGATCGTAATGATCCATTTAGATACTTGGGTCAGTGGTTGTTAATTCAAGCCGATATAAGAGATGAAAACACATCTCAAGAAGAATAGACGATGAGAACTTGACGTGGAAATTATTAATATACATTTTATTAAAAAAATTATTATAGTGTAATTATATATAGGGTATATATAGAAAATATACTTATTAAAATATCTCCTGAGATAATGAAAATAATTAAATTTTGTTTTTTCCATGAGTCACAGTCTATAACATGTAACGAGCAACATCACATGTTGTTCCTGTGTATAGCGTGTATGCCACTATCGCCCTCGCGGCGTGAAAACCGGCTGAAAAAACTGTTATCGGCATTCGTCGAACCCGGTAGCGCGCGATTAGTTGACCGTTTCGAACCCGCATATCACATACATAGTTTCAATGATGTTATTGCACACTTCTGTTGCGAGCGTAGGGAATTATTACGTATATAATAGCCCGAAATCTACCGTAAAATCAACATTCCCCCCGTACCTGAGTGTGCTATCGATTAGATATACGGATACGATCGATACCAAGAAATCACGTATTATACGTATATCTAATATATAGTTACACCGGGTACTTCCCCCATCCCGTACAAGTTGGCAGAGAGGCAGCAGTTCAACAGTCACCCGTACAGCCGAAGGGCCTAAGAGCCGTCACCACCGAAAGTGTGAGCCGTCGCCGTCCGAGCTTGAACATGCCACCATCAGTCCAGTGTCCGTCCAGAGTACGTCGAGTGCCTTACCCACCGCTGCTACTCGCATCAGACCTCCACGTCCATCAACCGTGCGATACAGAATCATCCTCACTCTTCAACCGTGTGTTAGTAAGTACTAGGAGTCATTCGACGCGGCCATAGGCTACGCTGCTAAAACAGCGTAGCATACTTTGGTCAGCATGTTGGCCTTACTGTTTAAATCTCCTAGTACGAACACTGACATCTCGGCATTGTGAGTAATACCCCGTAATATATAAATGTCGTGAAGATTTGTAAACTCGACAACGAGTAATATTATGTATGTATAAATTGTACACCTGATTGTAATATTGTAAAACAATAATAATTGTTATCGTCATTATTATTATTATTATAATTATTATTTTTATATAAATAAAAGTTAACAAAATAAAAAAGCTATACGGACTTTACGTTTTGTTACAAATATTTGTTGCGGACATATATAAATGTAGGTCCTTACGACTCATACGACATGGGTGGGACCACGTAGATCATAAAAAGTAGAGATCGGGAAATGATTATTATTAACATAATATTCGCATTCGTATGAATAGAAAGGAATTTTAGTTAAAAATCAGAAGGTAAACAAGTACATAAATTATATGTGAATCGCATGGTTACATTTAGATATTTAATTGGGAAAAAGTCGCGACAAATATGGAAGATGTGCGAATGGCAATATTAGCGAGGTCATCTAGGTGATAAATAACGGACTAGTGACAAATTATTTAATATAGTTGAAAACAACTATTGCCCAGCGCGGCACGTTTGATCCTCACCAAACCTAAGTATATAAGATATATAAGATTTGAATATGAGATAAATTGAATAAAAATAATTAGAGTTGAATTGAGATAAATAATTATTGAGTGAATTTAGTTTAAAAGTACTAAAAAATATATTGGAACGTCACACGCCGCCTTGTGTATAATTGAGAGATTATTAAGTGAATTTAGTTTAAAAGTACTAATAAAATATATTGGTCACACGGCGTCACACGCCGCCTTGTGTATAAAAATAATAGATAAAATAAAATATTGAGGCAATAAATGAGAATAAAATATTATATGAGATATATTGAATTAAAATAAATGTTATATGAGAAATATATGAGAATAATTGAAATAAAAGATTTATATGAATAGAGATAGTGATAGGGAAACACCGTCTCCTTCGGAAGTAGCTACTCCGTCGAAAGAAAAATTAAAAGAAAATAAAAAGTTGTTAGATAAAACACTAAAAAATATAGATAAAGAATTAAACTCAAAAGAAAGGATAGGAACTAGAAGTCAATAAGATATTGAACATAAAAAATTAACTTTTGAAAGAAAACCTAGAGAAACAATGACAGACTCAAAGGAAATAGTTAATAAAACAAATTTCTCGTTAGAAGAAGCAATAAAAATTGTACCAAAATGTAAAACAGAGGATGACATTTATAATTTTATAACTGCATGTGATTTAGCGATAAGCGCGGTAGAGGAAAAACATGTACCATTTTTAATAAAATATATTACGACTAGAATAACAGGGAAAGTGTCAGAATTAATAAAATATAGAGATATAAGCAAATGGGCATACGTAAAAAAATATTTAACATATTCCTTCGACGCTCAACACACAGCATCATCGCTGCAAGTAGAGTTAAATTCGGTTAAACAAAAATATAATAAGAGTATTAATGACTATAATAAAAGAGTAGAAAATTTATATTATAAGCTATGTAATCCAAGTACAATAGGGAAACAAAGATCAGATATACAACCAATTTGTGATACTTTCAAAGATTTAACTTTAACAGCGTATATCACGGGATACCCGTATACCC